CGTCACATGGCTTTGACCAATGACACAGCAGCCTGCTCAGTGACGTCACATGGCTTTGACCAATGACACAGCAGCCTGCTCAGTGACGTCACACGGCTTTGACCAATGACACAGCTGCCTGGCCAGTGACACGCGTTTCTCTTATTTTTTTGACCAGTGACATCACGAGTTGATCATTGATGTCACTAGGCCTGACCAGTGACCTTACAGCTTGACACTTAATGCTAGTTTAGCTCAAGTACGCGTCGGGGAGGTGGGGGGGGAGGAATGATGGCACTGATACGAAGAGGTCACGGTGGGGGAGAGGAGGGCTAAGGTCAGGCCAAGACGACAGCCCTTAGGGGTGAGACACCTGCCCTGAACACGAGGGAGAGCTGACTTACTAGCAGATTAAGGAGTACCGCTGCTTAGATACTAGGCTCACCTTTGCTAGGTTCACCTTTGCTAGGCTCACCTTTGCTAGGTTCACCTTTGCTAGGCTCACCTTTGCTAGGTTGGCCTAGGCCAGGCTTACCTAGGCCAGGCACACGACCGCCCTGACGCACCCTAGAGGGTGGAGGTTCCACCGGCCGCTGCGGCTATAAGTTACTGGTTAATGAGGGAATTAATGCGGGCGTGATGAGGGGAGGCTGCCGCGCCCACACCTGGCCCGCCCACCACCCTCACCTGCCCATAAAGCTTAGTTAAAGCTTGTACAAAAATTGTCTTCTGGAGAAGTGAGGTGGGTTTGTTTACACCGTTGTGACCACTACCCCCGCAGACACCAGCTGCTGTTGCTGCTGCTGCTGTTGCGCCACCTGCTGTTGGTGGTGCAGTTGCTGCTGCTGCTGCTGCTGTGACTGTGGTCCCGCCTGCTGCTGTAACTGCGCCGGGGTCTGTTGGAGGTGCTGTGGCTGGTGTTGCTGTGAACTAGTGCCCGCCGCTGTGATAGCGACGCTGCTGGTGGTGGTGGTAGTGGTGGTGCTAGGGGGTGGCACGCTAGGCGAACTTCCACTCACCTTTTTTAGTTTCTGTTTGAGGTGGACTTTGGCGTGTCTCTTTTTCTCGTCGGAGCGCGCGAACTTCCTGGAGCAGACGTCGCAACAGAAGGGTTTCTCTCCGGTGTGGGTGCGTATGTGTGTGGTGAGGTGGTCGGATCGCGAGAACGAACGCATGCAAATCCGGCACTGGAACGGCTTCTGACCGGTGTGAATCCGGATGTGTCGCGTCAACTCGTCCGAACGGGAGAACCTCCGATCGCAGTTCTCAACGGGGCAGGCGTAGGGGCGTTCGTGGACTGGGGTCTTGCTCGGTCTGTTGGGGTATTTGCGGGGTTTGACGGGAAGGAGCTTCAGGGGGAGAGGACTCTGCTGGTAGACCTGGGAGAGGATCTCGTGGCCTTTGCTCGTATGTTGGTTGTACTCTGCCAGCGAGGCAGCGTCTTGGTAAAGAGGTTCTTGCTTAGGTACTACCACGCCCGAGGGGCCAGCCACTGGCTCTCCTACACCGCCGCCCACACTGTACGACACCTGGGTCTGGAAAGTGCCCACTGGGTACTGGAACTTACTGCCCACATTACCTACCATTCCTCGACTAAAATCCACTTGTGTTGCCCCTGTTTGTACCACGCCCGCTAGCTGCTGCTGTTGTTGCTGCTGCTGTTGTTGCTGCTGTTGTTGCTGTTGCTGCTGCTGTTGCTGTTGTTGTTGCTGTTGAGGTTGAGGTTGTGGTTGGGGCTGCTGCTGCTGTTGTTGCTGTGTCCCTGGAATGGACATCTGCTGTGACTGCTGCAGCTGTGTGGTAGTGAGGGAGGAGGTGGTGACAACGGCTGCGGAGGAGCAAGCCGGATAGGTGGGCGGCTGTTTGAGGGCGGTGGGCTGTGTGTCGAAGGGCAAGAGAAGATCTGTGGTGGAGAGGGAGAGAGCAGGCAACCGGTCATCGTAACCGGTGAAGCCTCCGGTCACGGAGGGGTCCGGCAGTACCTGTTGGCTGGTGCTCGCAGGCTGTTGCAGGAATCCTAGGAAGGGCGTCAAGACGGAGGTCTTGTCGTGGGAGGTGTTAGAGAAGAGCCAGGTGTTTAGGGTCGTGGGTGAGGGAGTCGTACCCTGAGGTGCTGTGAGGGAGGTGGTCTGCGACGCTGTAGTGAACGACCCGCGGTACTGCAACTTCTGAGTGTCGGGTGGTTGTTGTGTAGTGCCGCCTGCCGCCGCCGCCGCTGCCGCCGCTGCTGCCGCCGCCGCCGCCGCCGCCGCCGTCTGGTGGGGGAACATAGCGGTGTCACCTGCACTCCCTCCCGGGGACCGGCAGGGGCTGGCCACTCCCCCCGGGGATGCCCCTCTGGGGCTCCCTGTGGCCTCCTGGACCTCTTGCTTCACGGCCTCCTGGTGTACGGGCGTGGAGGCCGGGGTCGGCTGCAAGTGATGGGGGTGTTGGGGTTGCTCGTGGTGGGGGAGGGAGGCGGGGGAGGAGGGGTCCCCCCCACTCGCCGGGCTGTGTTGCTCCTCCGAGCTCTCCACCGACGCTGCAACACAAAAACAAATCAACATTAATCAATCTACAACACAAATGAACAAGATTCAAAATAGTATATTAAAAAAACAGAACTACCATTAACAGTCTTCACACAATGGCGATAATAGGCTGTTATATATAAATATATATATATATATATATATATATATATATATATATATATATATATATATATATATATATATATATATATATATATATATATATGTCGTGCCGAATATGTAAAACTGGTCAATTAGCAAGAACTCATTTAAAATTAAGTTACTTCTAAAATTTTCTCTTATACGTTCAAAGATATATTTTTTCATTAATGTTAATGTAAAAAATTATAATTTTGCACCAAAAGAATCTTAGAAAACTTACCTAACCTTATTATAACAAGAAAAATTTATTTTAGACTAACCCAACTAAATATATTTTAGATTTGTTTACAGTAATTTAATACTAAACAAACACAGTGAAATATATTTTTTTTCGTTAGGTTCAGAATGATTTTGGCGAAATTATTGCATACACAAATTTTCGCTTGTCCTATATGGCAAGATGAGCGTTGCTATTTAAGCCAAGATGGCAAGTTCTGCCTATTCGGCACGACATATATATATATATATATATATATATAATATATATATATATATATATATATATATATATATATATTATATATATATATATATATATATGCAATAAGATCACAGTAAACAGGTGATTTCAGAATATGCAAAAAAACCACTCTGAAAGAATAGAGAAATTCCAAGCGTTTTCGTGACTACTCACACTATCAAGGAACTATGAAAGTAAAGCATCCAAGGAAGCTATATAAGGGGTCTGGCCAGCACCTCACTATCAGATCCCACAACGGTTAAACACCTGACGCGCGCCGACCCAACTTGGACAGGTCCTTTGCACAACTCACCCACAAACTATTCTATCCATGAAAATTTTAAAATTATTATTTGTCCAGTGTATTATTAAATTCTTCCCAAATTCTATTAATTATAAATGGATCTAATTTATATAAACCAAAGGAAATATTCATATTATTGTCAAAACTGCTTTTTATGAAACAAGATTCAATTATATTCCTGTCGCCATGGACTGTTGATACTACTTTCTAAATTTTTTTAAAAAATAAATTTGGGATGGTTAAAATCTCTTACAGAATAAATAGGCAGGGGAATCTTGTCAGTTCTAATGCTTATTTTGTTTTTTTAAATTTTCGAGATTTTTACCGTTTGCCCTAAAACTTTATCGCAAATTTTAAAAGGAATTTATAGACCATCCATCAGCATTTTGGGGGGAATTCTGTATAAAAGATTTTTAATAAACTTTAATATTAAAAAGTCTTAAGAAGGAAGGCAAAAAACCAATTTTTTGGGAAAGGGAAAACCCAAATATTTTTATTTGAAAAAGGCGGGGTTGCCCTTTTTTTGGTTTGTAAAAAGTTTTTCTAGAAAAAATTTTAAAAGATTTATCAATTCATTTCTTGGTATTTTAAATTTTTCTATTTCAAAAATTTTGGATTTTTCCCTCTCTTGAACTCGGATAAAATTTTCGTAAAGCTTAAAAAAACATTGATGGGGAAAACGACAGTTTGACTTTCTTGATGGAGGAATAATTTAAACATGGAACTTATTTGTGGGTTTTTCTAAAAATTTTTTAAATTTGAATTCATTATCCCCTTAAAAATTTAAAAACATCTAGAAAAGGCAAGAGTTATTTTCTTCAAACAACAGAAAATTTATGGAATGGGCAAGCTTTTTAAATTTTTCCCAAAGGAAATGGTGTATATTTCATTTTTGGCATAAGACAAAAAATATATCAACATATCAAAATTTGCTTATTGGGGAGGATGTGTTAAGCAACCTTTTTTCAAAAAATTCCTGTATGGGTTAAAAAGAAAGGTGAAAGGGATTTCCCATTGCATACCAAACTTCTGAGTGTAAAAACTTATCATTAAATACAAATTTTCATCAAAATCAAGTTTAATAAGTTTAATGATAGTAGGAGGGAAAATGGAAATCATAGTTAAGGGGTTTTTCAGATAAGAAACTTAATAAATCATCAACAGGAAATTTTGTAAAAAAGGAAAGTAACAAAAAAAACTAACCATTTAAAAAATCATTTTAAGTCAGTAAGGGCTTAATTTTCAACTAAGTTATGTTTTTTTTAAACATAAGTTAAAAAATTTTTTGCCAAAAATAGGGCTCAAAATCAAAAAGCCATTGGATAATTTATATGAAACTGACCTATGGGCTAATAATTGGTCTGACGGGGCCCCTGGTTTTTTGTTTTTATTAGCCCCTGGGGGTCAGTTTCTATAAATTATCCAAATGGCTTGTTGATTTTGAGCCCTTTTGTTGGCAAAATTTCAAATTTTAAATTTTAAAAACACTAGCTTGGTTGATAAATTTAAAGCCCCTTGATGACAAAAAATGATTTTAACATGGTTTAGTTTTGATGTTTTTTCCTTTGTTTCGAAATTTTCCTTTTGAGTTTTTTAAAGTTTCTTTTTGAAGAATCGTTAACTATGATTTACCTTGCCAGTTTACATCTTTTAAACTTATTAAATTTTGCTTGTTGATGCAAAATTTGTATTTAAGAAATTTTACACTCAGAATTTTGGGTTTTTGGAAATGGGAAACCCTTTTTCCCCTGTTCTTAGAAACCTTCAGGGAAATTTTTTTTGAAAAAAGGTTTGTTAACACAATCCCCCCAAATAGAGAAAGGGTTCAGAAATTTTGATGAATTTTGGTCTTATGCCAAAAATGTAGATATACACCATTTCCTTTTGGGGGAAATTAAATAGCTTAGCCCCCTTCATAAACTTTACTGTTGAGTTTGAAGAAAAAAAACTCATTGCCCTTTTTTGATGTTTTAATTATTAAGGGTAATAATGAATTCAAATTTAAATTTACAGAAAAACCTACAAATAACCTTCCCATGTTCACTATTACCTGATCAAAATAGAGTCAAACTGTCTGTTTTCTACCCAAAGTTTTTGAGGCTTTAGAAATTTTTTGTCCTGAGTTCATAGTGAAAAAATTCCAAAATTTTTGAATTTGGGAATGATTTAAAATTACCAAGAAATGTAATTATAAATCTTTTAAAGTTGCAGAAATACTTTTTACAATCCAAAAAGGGACAACCGCCCTTTTTCAAAATAAAAAAATGTTTGGTTTCCCTTACCTGAAAAATTTGGTTGACATGCCTTTCCTCTTAAGACTTTTAATATTAAAATTGTATTAAAAATCTTTATACAGTAAAAAAATTTTGATAAAGAATTCCCCCCCCAAAAAGGAGGATGTGTTATAAATTCCTTGTTAAAATTTGCGAAAAAAGTTTATTACGGTCAAAAATGGTAAAAAAACTCGAACTAAATTAAAAAAAACATAAATAAGCATTAGAACCGGACAAGATTCCAATGCTCTATTATTCATGTAAGAGTTTTAACCCTCCAATGATTTTCAAAAAGTTGAGAAGTAGTATCAAGAAGTCCATGGTCGACAGGAATTAATTGAATTTGTTTTAAAAAACGTTTTGACAATAATTGAAATTTCCTTTGGTTTTTATAATTAGATCCATTTATAATTAAAAGAATTTTTGGGAAAAATTTAATAATACACTGGACAAATAATTTTAAAATTTTTTTGGATAGAATAGTTTGGGTGAGTTGTGCAAAAGGACCCTTTTAAATTGGGCGGCGCGCGTAGGGGTTTAACCTTGTGGGGTCTGTGTGAGGTGTTGGCCAGACCCCTTATATGCTTCCTTGGAGCTTCCTTTCTACTTTATAATGTGGTAGTCACGAAAAAAGCTTGGAATTTCTTATTCTTTTGAGTGGTTTTTTTGCATATATAATTATTAATATATATATAATATATATATATATTTTATTTATAATTTTTATTTTAAATATATTTTATATAAGGGGAGGGGAGAAAAAAAAAAAAGAGAGGGAGAGGGCTCTGATCCAAGAGGTCAAAGCTGTGGGCTCTCCTTCCCCCGGATCAAATCTTATCTCCCCTTTCATATAGGTGATCCCACCCCCCCTCCCCCCATGGCAGGAAAAAAGTCGATTGGGGGTGGGAGACCTGGAGGTGCTAGGTGTGGGGGGACACTGGGGATGCAGGTGTGGGAGGAAATGGAGGATGTAGGTGTGGGGGCATGGAGGATCTAGGTGCTGGGAGACCTGGGGGATGCTAGGTGCTGGGAGACAGGGGTGCTAGGTTTTGGGAGAAAATGGAGAAATTTCCCGGAGGGGGGTGGGGGGGAAAAAGGGTAGGAGTGGACGTGGGACCCTGCTGGGGGCCAGACCAGATGGTGCCCCGAGAAGGGCGTCCCGTGGGTGCTGTCGGGCCCCCACACACGGCACTGACAACAACCAAAACAACGCAAAACACAACACGCGCGCCTCGTAGGCCCCAGGAAGTCACCGTGATCTTTTTTATTTTCCCCCCCCCCCATATCCCTCCCCCCCCACCCCAACCCCACCCGAGGACGGTGGGGTCGGGGGGGGGGCCACGATGTGGTGTGTGGGGGAAAATGTTTATTTTTCCCCTTACCCCAACATATTTTATTTCCCCCTTTCAAATTTGGGCTAAACCCGCCACGTGTTTTGGGAAAGGTTGCGCGAACCCCCCTCCCCCCTTTCCCCCTAAACCCCAGAACCTCCTTAAACCTCCCCCCCCCCGTGAAAAACCCCGGGGGTTTCCCCCTGGTTTTGCCCGGGGTGGGGGGGGAATGCAAGCCCTTTGGGTGCTGGTGAGAAGGAGGGTTGGGTGTGTTAGCGGGGTTGGAAGTGAGTGCGCCTTGAGACCCGGAGGTAAAAACAGCGGGGGGGGGTGAACAGCACCAAGTCCGAGCACCCCTCTAGTTTTAACTCTTTCATCTCCAGTGTTGCTTATGTCTGTTTTGTTCGTCTTCGGTACGTTTAGGGGAGACGTAGAACCTTTGGGGAAGTAAGGGAGGAAAAACTGCACGGCCCACTGG